CACACACTCCCATGAGAAAATCCTTATCTACTTTTTGATTATCCCGAGATAAAAATGGCGTGTCTCTCGAAAAGATGTGAGCAACAAAAATCGCCATATTTCATACCATTGAACAATAAATATATACATACTGCTTTTATATACGTATATGCACATTTATTTGTTAATAAACAGTATCAGGCTGCTCTTGAAACTTCCCGATGAAGTGAGCTGAGATGTTCACGAAACGTCGGTATAAAAATGACACTAACGCGGTTCAAACCCGAAAAACATCTTCGAATGTTAAACAACGAAGCTCGTACATTATTGATATTGTGTTATTGTTTCTATTTAGATTGCTATGCAAACGTCGCATTACTCAGATAAAACAATAAACAATAAGAAAAAGAGAGAAAAAGAAATCACGCGTAAACCGTTCTGATGGGATAATTCGACGATCTGTTTCGTGGCGTTTCTGTTGAACGAAACGCGATCGAACAGACAGTGATCGGATGTGGTGGGGCCGTGTATATATTTAAAGATCGTTTCTCTCACGTCAGGGATTTCCCCGGGTCCGTCTTAGATACGTCAGGCGAACTGACACATTCGATAATCCATCGACTGAAACCGTTTATGTGAGACGGTCAATTTGACGAATTTCCTATTTCTTCGCTTCGAGCGCGAAAATCTGTCAAAGATTGTTGTTGTCGGAAAATGTGTGTGTACATGTATAAACCGAACGGTGACGAATACTACCTCTACGTTGTCACAAAATTTCGGTTACGTGGCTGTTAATTCTCTGATATCCATAGCCGCTCGCAAAGAGCTCACTTTGCAAATTGTAACAATACCATAAAGGTTTATTATTTTGTTGCATTTTACCATTCTGCGTTGTTTAAACAATCAGCGTATAGAAATGGGGTGGGGCAATGTAGAATTTTTTGTATTGAAAAACTTGTTAATAATTGTGTACTTCGTTCTGTCTCTCTTGAACTTCCCGCAAATTTATTAGCTCTATTAATTAAACATAAACACATATATTTAATATCTTCTTTAATAATAAGTATAATTTGTTTGTAATGCAATTTGTGCGGCGAGAGGAGATAAATGATCGATTTCTTAAGTTGCTGTAACAGTCAATATTTATCATAGTGAAGGGTTAGAGCTGAAAATATGAACGTAATCCAAATGCATGTTTAGCCCCAGAAAACCCTATTTCGAGGTAATAGATTGCCTGTCGAAATCATTTATGCATCCACTAGAATCATTTTCATGGATACTTGCCAGCTACCGTGACTCATGTAATTGTGTTGGCGCGTACGTGTGATCGTGCGTACGCGTTTTCGCGCGTACACACGAAACCACCGAAATTCGCATAGTTGATTTTTCATATGCGTGTGTGCGTGTGTGTGTGTATGTGTGTGTGCGCGCGTATCACGCGTGCGTTGAGGAAACTTTTCAACCTGTCACTTACGCGTGTGGTAAAGACTGTCATAATATACCTAATATTCTTGGAGTTTGGCTGTATTTTTGCTTATACATGCGTTATGTATTTACTTTCACATTTATTTTGAAAGAAGACCAGATTGCGAGAATAAAACGAGTCCGAGCAAAATATCACAAATGTATAAAAAAAAAAGAAACTATTTAAACAGCGATCATCGTATAGTATATACATCGCGAAAAGCATGATTTTTTCCGCAACCCGGTATGATTCGCAGACGATTTTGTTACATATCTTTCATCTTCGGTCTTTCATCTTTGGCGTAACACAACACATAAAAGACACGTAAAATAAACGTGCTAGTACTAAAAATACTGCAGCGAACCGATTTTGTCGATTTCTTTTTGCAGCGAACTACACACAAGATATAAAAAATATATGTTACATCTACTATAATCTACCATATCTACTATAATTACTACTATATGCATAATTGTGACGTATTTCATTGTTTATTGTTTATAAGTTGTTTATAAATAAATAATTAAACAATAAACACGTACGCAATCCTTGACGACGATTGCGTTATCACGTTACTGCTCGCGCGATTTTCATTCAATTTATATTTATCTCGCGATTGTATGCACGGGAACGCGACACAAAATCACCGGCAATCAATTTAAACTTTCTAATTGCATAGTTTTCCTACGATCGACGTACTACGCGTACACACGGTGAGGTGTGAAGTTTGGCAGCGGCTCTTGTCGTTCTCATATGCAGCGTAAGATTCGCAAGCTCTGCCGTCTCTGGCAGAGATTCCACTATATAATCCATAAATAAGCTCTAACCGCGCGCCGTGAATTCACGATGTACATACATAGATAGATACACAGGTAGCCACTGCGTTCGGTCTGTGCTAACGTAGCTTGCAGATTCAGTGCCGTACAGACTCTCTTAGTGAAAGAGAAATCTTTCGAAACTGAACTTCTTGTTGTTACACGTCTCAGGACGTGAAAGAGAAGAATTGTGTAACTCTTTCGATCATTTCAGAGATCTTCGAAATAATCATCTTTCAAATTCGCTTGATGCTTATTTATCTTATTGCGAGAGAAAACAATACATACTGTACGCACTCCTCAGCGCTTGGTTCTTAAAGACTTTATTATTTCATCTCTTAGCGGTAGCTAAGAGATAAATCGCTAATCAGAGTTTTATTTCCGATTATTTTTTTTTAATTTTAAAACATCTTTTTCCCTGCGCGCGCGCGAACTACGCTCCATCGTCCTCAACTACCGACTCCCTCTCGTTGAGTTCGTAAGGTAACATCATCGGAAAGAGATCATCTCTCTATACGCTAGCGGCATCTGGCCTCAAGTTGAAGAAAGCTCAAAGCTCTTCATCAAATCGAGAGAAACTCGACCGCATTGCGTACGCCGGCCGCGCCGCCGTGGAACAGCAGCATGGTCACGGCGCGTGCTAAGACCTTGCGATATTTTTGCGCCGATCTAAAAATAATTTGCGCATTTTATAATACGTATGATGAGTTCTAACTCCCAGCCGATTTGTGATCGAACCTGTGTTTCGAGTTTGAGAGTCGATCATTTTTCGAGAAACGTACGAAGAATGTCGAGTACTACATCGCCGATCAATCCCCACAGCAATCTCCGTTTTTTTACCAATGTCCATTTTGATGCAGAAAAATTCTTACACAATTATAGTATTATTTCGCGACATTTGCTTTGTCTGATTTTTTGAGAAAATAAATAGATTGAAAATATGTCGAAAAAACATTGCTCGTAAAATGTACGCGATCTCGAATTTTTAAAACAATATTTCACATTTTTGCTAATGAAACCTTAGATAGATTATTGTTTACTCAGTTGAAATGTGTGTCGTGAGATTTGCGCAAAACGCGCTATCGTCGAGATTTTCCTGACGCGACGCGGCACCAAGCCGGTGGCAACGATCATGTGAGCGCGAGAACGGAATTATCACGAAGGGAAGCCAATCCGGTATTTCTGGCGCGATTGTCCGGCGAAAAATAGATTTGTATGGATTAAAAGACGCCACCAAGACGAGTTTGTTATTCTGACGCGATTGCACTTACACACCGAGATGTCCTTCCGTGATTCTTTTGCTTCTTCCTCTCTTTTGTTCTCTTCCCGTCTCGTATTTCTCTTCCGCCGCGCTCTCTCACTGACTAGAACGCGATATGACGACGTTATATAAATGATAAGATTATTCATGAACTCTGCGCGTCAATCAGATAAAAATTCAAATAACCTACAGACCCACACGGTTACATCCAGTCTACAATTCGCACATTTATTTAAAAAAAACACACACACAAATAACAATTTTTTCCGTTATTGTAAAAACATGTCTCTTGAGTGTGTTTGTAAATATCAGACAAGAGATAAACACTATGACAAAAATATTGTAAGGAAGATAAACAGTAAATTTTCGTGAAAAGTTTCTTTTAAATTTGCATGAAGTAAACACACACAATAGAAAACACGTAACGCACAATAAAAAAAATTGGAAATTTATAAACGAAGCAACAAATAAAAACAATAGCAACAAATTAAAAAAAAGACATTAGTATTTTATTAAAGAGGAGACGCGCACACAAGTACGATAGGCTATTGATTTTTAAGTATCATCGCACAAATAATCGCGAAATGTCGAGAATAACCAACATTTTGACAGCAGCTCGAGATATGCCAAACGAAACCATGAAAAAAGAGCGCGGAAAAGAGACAGTCGATATATACATAGATCAGAGAGAGTTTCGACGTGTTTGAGTTTTCGATTTTACATGTCGCTTTTAGATAATAAAATAGTGAAAAAAATATTTATTATATCCTCTCTTGTGTTTGCTCCAATAAAAAAAAATAAATAAATAAATAAATAAATAAAGCGTACGTGGAGCTCGCTGTGTGGTCTCGACATTAAACGTGTGTTTCTGTTATTTGTCATTCTTTCACTGTTATAGAAACCTCGGAGCGGTGTGTCAACAATTTCGACATGATGATCTATTACACCAGAGAGAATATTTTTCTATCTTCATATTAAACCGTTGCAAAAGTTATAATAAAAACAAAAAGATAATATTTATAATCTCTTCACAATTAATCTTATATTTCATTTTTAATTGACTATAACGATCCTATTAGAACAAAGGAACAATATAAAATTTCGATCTTTTTGTATGAAATTGGACAATAGAATTTTCTCATGAATCACAATTATATCTTCGCGCGTCTACGTTTCAACGTGCGTTGTCTCAATGAGTTTTCTCGGAAAATGTAAAATGAACGTTTTTCTAATAACTCGACGCGACGTTTCGTATTCGTCGATATTATGACGACGAAGAACGATATGCCATCACGGGTCTCGTCAAAAAGCCAGCTCTGTTTTGTCGCGAAACGCCAGCGACCGGGCGGTGATGCGCTGCCAGAAAGCGCCGCCGATATTTGGTGAAGCATATGACGACACCGACGTCGCCGACAGCGTTATATCTCAGTCAAGCTAGTCTGGCCCAGGTATCCTAGACCGGTGGCAGTCGCTGCACCTCTTCCTCGGTCTGGTCCATTATCATCGTCGTCTTCTCTTGCGGCGTTTGTCCTCGTCTTTCATTCTCGCTCGCTCGCTCGCTCACGTTTCCGCACGCAAACAGAGAGAAGAAGAAGAGAAGGGGCGAAGACGGTTTTAGACACGGAGCATTCACGAGCGTCGCGACGCCCTGAGGACCAGTAGTTGCGTACCTTAGGCAGCTTCCACCTTGCCGGTTCGCGCGGCCAACTGTAACGTGTGCGATCACGACGTCCGAATGTCGTTCTGGAGATCGTCGTTGTTGTCGTCGTCGTCGTTGATGTCGTTTCCGAGCGAAATCTTCACTTGAAGAACAGAGCGAGCTTGTGATGATGGTTTTCTTGTGTGGTTCATAAAAAGTGTTGTCAGCAATTGTATCGCAACGCAACATTCAAGTTTTACATAAATGCTATGATATGTACACAGTATATATGTAATACAAAGTAATAATTATAATTTCTTGGATCACAAGTTAAAACGTCTTCGCAATACATTTGGTTCTCAAGCTTTCTTTAATTAAATAATCGCTCTTCGAGAACGCAATATAATTTTGCCCCGAAGAAAAATCGACATCTCTTTGCAATATCAAATTGATCTTCTCGTGGATTTTGAAGCATTTGCGAGTGTAAAAAAAAGCGTACACTTTATCTCCGCCCGAAGGATATCTCGTTCGTTTGATGTTGACATCCCTCCGCAATTTTATCGAATAAAGTATGAATGGTCGGATAATGGTCGATTGTCGCGTGAAGGAAAAAGGTAACGAAAGCGAAATTCCCCGCCAAAAATAGCGGCGGCAAGGAGATTTTGATTGGGGTGAAGAACGAAGGGTCGCAACAGTGGTTCGTGCAAGGAAAGTTATGGCAGCGGATCCTGGAAACAGGAGACGCTCGCGCCGCGACAGTATGGATGGTTCACTACGCGGGACACCTTCGACATCGAAGGATCGCAGAACCAAACGAACCGTGAAACCAATCAAAGAACGATGGCTGCTCACGCGGAAGACATGGCGATACATGGCTGACGCGGGTCGACGTCTAATCCCGGAAGGTACTCACAATCGTCCCGAGGATATTCCGAAGATCGAGCAAACTTTCCAAGAGGTTTGTCAAAAGGAGCCGCGTTTCTTGCTATGGCGGAAATCCTCGTATCCGGGAAGTCTGACTTTTCGCGCACCTCGCCGTCGTCGACAGATTGGCAAAGGCGGCAGCTGTCGCACTCAGGCTAGCTCGGCAGACGAGGCCGATGATTCCAGGAACTCGCCTCAGAGTTTCAACATTCACACGACCACGACCGGCAAGTTCGATCTAACAAAAACAAAGAGAGAATCGTGGTTTTTATCAGGCGGTAGCGGTAGCGGTAGTATACCCTCGAGCCCGGAAGCGCATCGAAAGGTAATATCCCAGGAAAACGCCGAAGAAGAAGACTTGGTCTACATGCTCCAAAATTATTTGTTCATTGATAGCAATCCGAACGAGCTGGCGTTAATAAACTCATCGTCTTTGGATCATCGCAGCCTGTTAAATAAATTACAACGATACGTGGACAAGCTCGTATACGAAGCCAAAGAGAAATCTTCAAGTTGCACCGATGAAAAAACTGCGACGACATCATCCTCCAGTTCTCACGGTCACGTAGTGCATCAACAGCTAGTGGAAACGTTGAGCCGTTACTACGGTAAATTCTCGTCTCGCGATCGCGTTGTTTCTGACATCCTGACGGATCGTAAGCTTCTCGAAAAAATGTATTTCGATCTAAGATGCAGCAGAAAGTTTCGAATGCCTCGATGTTCTTCTTTCCGGTGGCTTGACACAGATAGCGGATCATCCGTCAAAAAGAAAGTAGATCTGTCATCGTTGTATCAGGTTCCTTCCAAGAATTATTCGTACCAAGTTGTGCAAACCAATCCCGTTTCTCGAGACGTTCTGGACGCGTGTTTACTGGAGAAGGAAAAGGAGCAATCCGGCCGAAGGCGCAGCAGCGTTGATGACGTGTCACCGTCCGTTGGTGATACCATCAAGAGGTATCTACGTATGGCGCGAAAGAAATCTATAGACGCGGATAAGGACGATCGATTCAAGCGGGTCAATTATGATCGGTTAGGTCTTGCTAAGAAAAAGGACGTAGATCACAAAATCAGTGACGATAGTGGCAACAGCAAGGGCTGTCAAACAGAAGACGATTGGGCGATGCATTATCGTGAAATGTTCTTTCCAACTAGTGAGTGTCCGTCCGAGAATTTATCGGATATTGACGCGACTACGTCACCGCCCAGCAGAAATGCCAGTTCACGAAGCAGCATTGATGTTGGTTCGGAAGAAGTATTAACTAAATATCCTCATCAATCCTTCCTGTCCCATCTGCTACACGTTTCCAATAAAGACAAACCGCATTCGGCGCCCGGTTCGCCAGCGCTCACGTTATCTACCGCCAATTCCACAGGTGGCACAGCGATGCAGAAGAGTAAGTCCTCGAGCAGTGTGGTGCATCACGGCAGCCGGTTGGTTGCGAAAAAGATTTGGCGCTCCAGGAGCAAGAGCACCTCAAGGACGACGCATCAGCCATCCGTATGGACGCCTCAGGTGAGTTGTTTTCCACTTACGCGTATATTATTTTCCGATATAATAAAGAAGCCTAAATCATTTCACTAGATAGACTTTTTTTTCAACTTTCACGAAACAAAAAATAAATCATTTTTTAAGCTCTTGGCAAAGAGACAGATTAAAAGTACAAATTTCGAACCACAATATTTTTGAAATATTTTTGTCCTCGATTATGTATTTTTTCAAAATGTTTGTGTGTGCGTTATTTTGTTGCAATTATAGAATAACAAGAAAACCGCATTCGTAAACATAGTGTTTTTTTTTAATTATAATATATATTACAAATTAAAAAAAAAACAATTTTTATTTCAATTACTTAATTTTCTCCGGAACAAAAAACGTTCGATGTCGAAAATTGTTTTAACGAGAGAAAAAGACAAACAAGGAAAACAAAAAGGAGATAATGAATTGCCGCGTCTACCATAGAAATTTAATTAGTACTCGTCTCTCTCTGTACTAATTTCGGCGCGCGCGTAAACGTTTTTTTCGTCACGAACCATGACCTACCGCTCGGAAACGTCTCTCTATATTGCTGTACCACCTGTGGAATTGGCGAATGATGACGTGAGCGTCGACACCGAATCAATGTAGCGTTTACGTGTGTAGGACACGGTATGACGTTGTCATATTAGTGTTTATACAAGACAATTAGGATTTAATTAAAAGTAAATGCTGAGTGTTATTTCGTAACAAGTAAACCGAACCGAAATGAATAAAACGCTAGTAGCGGAAACTTGTTAAAAATTTTATTATCATAAGCATGAAAAAAATACATAAATATTTTAATAATTTAAACACATGTTATATTAACACGTTTACTGCCGCGCAAGTTTTATATGTCTTGCCATACAATAGAATTTTCATAATTTTAAGTATATAATGAGAAAATACGTAATATGGTTAAATAAGATCATCTTGTTGGTGGTAACCAGTAACTACCGTGGCTTTATAATGTACTCGGATTCCTTAAATTCGAATTCACTATCGGTACTGAAAATCTACAGTTTACGTGACACGTGTCATAGATTGGCTTTCCTGAAGATGTTGCGCCATGAAATTCAAAAGAAGAAAGAGCGAACGTATCTATCGCAAAACTTTTGCAAACAATGTTACACAAATAATATGTCAGAAATTTCACGCAAAGTGCAAAAACTTTTGCACAAAAAAAAAAAACTACTTACTGCAAAGATTGCAATAATCAGCTTTATTTCTGTTTGAAATTTTTTAACATAGTACGTTGTAAAATTTAATTTTATAAAATATTTGTTTTGATACAAATTTTTAATTGTTGAATAGCGCATTTTTTATTCACAATGTTCTCTAGTTACTTAACCTTTTCGCTCCGGGAATTTTTCCTTTAAAATTGACCTCGCATTTTAGCTGAAAAAGTTAATAATAACCTGCTACCCCCCCTTTAAAGTTAATTTTGAAGGTCAAAGAAGTAACCAGGATTTTTTTCAATTTTTTTCCTAAATTTAGTGCATTAAATTGACCTTATAAACATCTA